GTGAGAGGACTGCGTGTGTGCGTGTGAGGAGGGTCAGTCGGTTGAAATACCGGCCTCAAATGTAAGATCACGAGGAACACGTTTTTGATCGGTTCGAGGTACTACTACGAGGCAATACTAGTTCAAAGAGGTGGAACGAGAGACTTTACAAGCTGGAGGCATACATAACGGCAAATCATGCACTGACAAAAACCGCTCCCCTCTGGTGATAGTGTTGTAACAGAGAGCGCTTCATTAGCATGTACAAAACAACAGTGCCAAAAGTGGACTTTTAAATGAAAGTGAATCGAATTCCAGTTGTTACATTTAACAGTCCATTCAGCTGAGAGCAACCATTTTTTAAAAGTCACACATGCGAAGTGAAACGAAGGTTCACTGATTCGTCGACAAACCACGAAAATGCTGAATGCCAGGCACAGAGAGCTCCATCGATCGACTCATTTAATAAAATACTCAACACAATTCATTGATATATTAGTTCCACTGTTTCTGTCGTTAAAATAAGACCAGCATCAACAAAATTAAGCAATTCAGATTAACAAATCGCTTATACGAGATTTGCTTTCAAAATATAAATAAATAAACGAATAAGTAAATGGCAGCAAAGAAGTTCATAAATTCGTAGCCTCTCCAAAACCCAAATTTCATGCCATGATGCTCAGGGGATCATCTACAGGTGGACCATCAGCTTCATGGCATTTGAGAATCTGCACCGCTGCGTGCGATACGTTCCACGTCATTGACAAATGAACAGCAAATCGAAGACGAGGTCCAGGCAGCCAACAACCGTACAGATTACTAAGCCCAATACATTATTAATTCGTGCAAACATGGATTATACCGTGTAAAGCTCTACCAACTCCTTCTGGTCACCTGGCAGACGATTTAAGCAGCCTAGGACATCATGCCATTTCAGTACCTTAAGTCGTAGACGCGTTATGTATCTTCTCCTGAATCGAGCAACACCGTGCGTGTCACCAGAGGATTTTGAGGCTCGAATTCCATTTAGACGATTTAATAACCCCGCATATCAGTCTATATGATGCAGTGCGTCAGAAAGCGCTTTACCCATCAAGATCCAACTGTCACGTATGGCCCCAAGCATTACGTCTAGATATCCAATTTGCCATTTAAGTGGGCAGTGGCCCCATGGCATTTGAACACTTGCACTGCCAGATGTATCACAGACATTTTATTGAATCAATCACAGCTGTATTATGCTTGTCAATAGAGTAATCGAAAGAGTCGGTACTAATTATATGCTATTAGAAAGAAAAAATATGGCATCTAAGTTAGAGCATGTTAAGAGGGAAATACTTTTCAAATATGCTTGACTTTGCATACAACTGACATTTCATGAACAACAGCAGTACTGCCACGACAAAAAGCACATCTCCATGGTGAACTTCACGGTTAACAATGACCACGTATATGCCTTTCGAAATAGAAATGATGTATTCATGTATGCCACAGAATTTCAAAATTTTTCTCGTCATATGAAAGTGATTCAATCAAACACAGTCTTAAAGTCGAGGAAAAGACAACTAGACTCGTCGCTTCGTTCAGCGATCCCTGAAAACATTGAAAATATCGCCAAGGCAGGTGCACTACAGCCACAGAACTTGCAAAATAATGCTGGAGAAGACCTTCTTCGCAGGGCTGAGACTGAGTGACAAAAACAGATCGAATGGTCATAGCCTCGATGCGCAAACTAAGGCAAAACAATAGCAAGCGAGAAACAGAAACGCTGCCTCAATTTGGCTTCTAATTTTAGCGTCACTCATCGCTGAAAATTTTGCCTTGGAAAAATATAATTAAGTTACAAAAAACGGTGGGTACATTTAACAAGGAGAAATTCAGGACACTTACTTGGTAGTTATTTACTGAAGACAAATGCCAATCTGTCAGAAATTGCATTTATTGAGTACATGAAAGCTAATCATGAGCTGTTCGTGCTTGATAGATGCATTAAATATGCACATCACACTCTCATTCTTTCTCCAACACACCACTGAGCCAAAAACAGTGTTTCAACAACAGGTACAAACAACACGTCATCATCTGATCTATGAGCATCGAACTAATGGCCCTAATATTAAGTACTAAAAAGTCAGTAGGCATCACTTTTTATTGTACATAAGGAAGATGCGAATACTTCAGGTGCATTGTTGAAAAACAAATGGATCAACTGTGGAAATGTGACAAATTTCACAACATTTTCCCAAATGAAGTACCCTAGCCATAAAAATGCAAAAAACTTCTAGCTCGATTCATAAATTTCATCCTTTGATGACAAAGAATGAAACGGGTCAAAACAAGACAAGCGAGAGAACAGACCAGAATAACACGGACCTGTTGAAATGAAAGCAATTCAAACCACAATCTTTGCTTTTGCATGCACTGCCATATCGTTTATACTATTGGTCGTTGATGAAACTTCCATGTCAATTAGCACATTTCAGTAAATTTGGTACTACAACTATTACATACAGTTAAATTGGCATTTCTTCAAATCTTGGAAGCATGGTCTTAGAGAAGTCATTCATTATTCGTGATACTCACCTGTATATACAGCTTCAGATGTGAGAGCGTATAAAGAGAACCAGAGCCTGAAAAATCGTTCGTGATGAGCTCGAGGTGGCTCTAGTGGACAAAATAATGCGAGATACATCTAGTGCTGCAGATGCTTAAATACCGTGGAGCCGTCTGCTGCTTAAATCCCTTCGCCCTCCTCTGCAATTAGAAACAAACGAACGGTGCAATACGCCGCGAAATCTGGTCTCGGATGAGTCATTCATTATTTAATGTTTGCAAATACAATAAAAAAGAAACCAAACGTAGCCGCTGCAAAAATAGCACCAGACATCGCTGTCATAAATCAAGCAACCGCAACCAATGGTGTCCTAAAGGGACATCAGTCGCACCTCAGAGTAGATGCAAAATGCACCCATCAGAGGAGTGCACCTTCATGGGAGTGTTGCCTAACGTCAAATACCACCAGCCAGCGAGTCCATTACGCGAAAGTCACATAAGTGGATAATCTAAATACTAGATAATAGGAAATAATTAAAAACGCAATCTACCTAACAGCATCGGTTTACGGTGTTCGCCACTGTTTCCGTTCGGGTAGTCCGGTTGCTGTGAGACAACGAAAACCAAGACGCGGAAGAGCAGCAGAATGATACTCGGAAATGTCATAATCAACATCAAGGTCAGT